CCCCTTTTTCCCTAGGAGACTACAGTAGAAAAGTACAGTAGCACAGCTAATGAGCTGTCCCTCGCTGTCACTGACCGCAGTCGCGGACAAAGTGCAGTGGATTATGCCACCATAGACGTGGACGCTTCCCATCTACGCAGCCCAAGTCAGTCACTCGCTTTCCTTTAGGTGTCCTTTTAAAACCCTCTCCGTACGCCCTGGGGTCATTTTGTACCCCCGGGTTGCATTCTTCACATTTTAGAATACTTCTGGTACGAAGATCTCTTTGAAACTTTCAGTATTTCTAAAAAAAATCATTTTGACAGACTGCTATGCAAAGCGTACGGATCGGATTAACGAGCAAATTTCCTCTTTGGAAAATAGTGGCACAGAGTTCCCCACGTGGTATGGATACGATAGTAAAACACGACGTACGGATAGGGTTAAGTAATTGGTCGCTTTTAAGCACAAGGGGCTATCCCAAAAAATGCTGGTTTGAGAAAAATCGAAGGTAAAGTTTTTGCCCCTTGTTCAGTTTCTTTAAAAGATAAGGAGAGTTTTCTCTTTAACCAAACAGATAATATAAACACCGATGAAACCAAATTTCCCCTATACGTAGTGCAAAGCTCACTTTTGATGTAGGTCAAGATTTCTGGAAGCACCCGAAATCTGGGTTAGCCCGCTTGTCTTTGAAAGCGACCAGCTGTTTTACGGCTTTTGCGACACAATCATCCCCAAGCGCCCCATCTGGGGCAGACGTCGGCGATCATGGTTCTCAATTAATTCCTTTGCTTGGAAGCTCTTTAAAAAAGCTACGTTACCCTCATCTTTTCCTGTTACCTATATTCTGTTTACCGTGCTACCCCCCCCCCCCCCTTTGAAATACGAAGTTAGACGATTTGGTTTAATGTGAGCTATGTTGTAATTCGAACGAAAGTCGCACGAGTCAGAATGTGCTCCTGGGTGACCGGAGTCTGGACATTGTTCCGGCTAGTAAAATATTGTTGGAGTACCCAAGATCAGAGGTGATACGAGAGAGTAACAAACTCTCCAAAAAAAAAAAAGAAGTAGAAGGAGAGATCTGGACAATAGATGTTTGATAGGAAAGAAGGAGCTAACCGCAAAACAGCATATC